GGGAAGGGAAGGGAAGGGAAGGGAAGGGGGTGGGCAGATCCAGATCAAGAATGGGGGCGGGGGGGAAGTGTCTCTGTGCCCACTCCCAAGAGCAGGGCTGGGAGGAGGCAATGGTGCACATGTGGCTCTGTGGGCAAGCATTCTCCATGTTGGGGAAAGCCCCTCCTGGAGTGCCTGCCCGCCCAGCGGTACATGGACCTCAAGCGGCATTTTGGGCCCTGAGCAGGCTCCGCGCCTTCACGTGCAGCTTCCCTGAAGGGCTGATACTGCACCACCAGTGGGCACTCCATGTCTTCCCCTAACACCTCACCATTCCCTCAGTTCCCAGCAAGCTTCCCACAGCCAGCTTCCCCCCAGCCAGCTTCACCCCCAGCCCTGCCCCTCAACCCCCAGCCCCACTTAACTTACAGGCTCCAGGAAGGAAAGTGAGCCTGAGCCCAGCCTTGGGTGAGTGAGAGCCTCAGACCCTGCCCTTCCCCTCTCCCTCCCCCTCCGGGCAGGGCTGGGGGTTTCCTGCCCATTTTGCAATCAGCTCTTGCAGGCTGGAACTCTGCTGCCTGCACAGCTCTTTGCAAAAGCAGCAAATCCACAGGTTTCTCTGCAAAAAGGTAAACTCCATTTTTTCTCTGCTAAAAATGTGAAATCCATGGGGGGGTTTCTGCTTTTCCATCGGAAACGGAAAACCCAGATCCCTGCTAACGAGCCTGCTTCAGAGCTGGCAAATAGGTGTGAAACTTGAGTAGGAAAGGCACATCCCTTCAGATCTACAGACTCCGGCATTTGTGGAATACCTGAATCTGATTGCCAAAGGGGTTGGTTTGGGGTGGGTGATGGATGTGAGGCGGGATTTGCAGCAGTCCTGTGAGGGGCATTGAAATTAAGCATTCTGTGGAGTTCAACCTGCATCATATACATTAAACAAGGTGTTATTTCCAAAGAATAAGCAAGGCTTCCTCTTTCACCAGTGCTTCCTCTGCATTTTATAATCCAGTTTTATGTACCAGGTGAAATACAAGGCGGAATATATGAAGATAGCAGTAAAAGCCTATAGGAGAAAGAGTCTTGGGGAGCAAAGTGTTTGCACTAGAGTTGAACATTGCACAATGGGGGAATGGAGTAATTTACTCTCTGTGCCTAGATGGATGGTGTTACACATCATGTTTTTGGTATAGTCACTGTTGTTCTCCAGTTTCTGATTCATTCAAAAGCATGCTGGGGTGGTGGGGGAGGGTTATGTATCCAGGGGATTTCTCTCGAGTCATTGTAAACTTTTACAGTTGGAGTTAATCAAGGAGTTAACCAAGTCTAATTGAATTTTTAGCAATTTGGCAGTCTATTTTGGATGAATTTACAGGGTTATTCAGATGATAATATCTATGGACATTTCAGTTTTCCTTTTTTCCCTTCTTCTCTTAATTTGAATCTGCATACCACGGATTTAAAATTCCCTCTACTAGTAAATGTATGCCTCTTTCACACCTCACATACATGCTGTGAAATATTAATGACCACTAGATGGCACTACAATTGTACCTGGTCTTCAGCCATAATGAACTGATACGATTCTCTTGTGATCTAAAAGGATTTAAACTTAAGTCCTCTTGAAAACTTACTATTGGAGGTCAGAAATAACATTCAGGTCCATAAATGCAAATACAATATTATGGGGGAAAAAAGTGGTCCGAACTCTTGCCTCTGATGGAAA